GTTCCTTGTGATAACAGCCAGAAATCTATAATAAAATATATAGTAGAATTGGCTTTGTATCCTCTCTAACCTATCTATAATTATCTTTTTTTAAGAATGGCAAGAAAAATAATGTTAAAAAATTACAGAAAAAAGAAATTGACAGTTGTGAAGAAAATATAGAAAATGAATGTTATGTGAAAGAAAGAAATGAAATTCCTGTTACAAGTAAGCATCTACAGAAAAAGGAAAAGAAAATAGCCAGGAAGCAAGCAAAGGTTAGTGATCATGAGAATAGGAAAGTATAAAATCATCCAGAACACACATGCCTTAAAAATGGTTTGTAAGTGGAAATGAAATGTTGCTTAACATTTTCCTCAGCTATATTCTAATTGGATGTTCACTAAACAAATGACAAATTCATATTTGAATGTCATTTATATACAGTATATGTTATAGCTTTGCTGAGAAATTTGAAGTCCATTTGAAATACCACGCAAATAGAAAAGTGATATGTGAGGATCCAAAGCGTCATGTTAACATCAGACTGTGTTAAGCTTTAAATTTGGATGTAACCATATTGTTTGTAACTCATGTTAATTCTGTTTATAACTCATACATTAGCTCAATTTATTTCAATTTTAAAGACAATAATAGTGCTTATAAATCTTCAGCATACATAACATTTAATTATTCTTTTGATATGCTTTTGTATGTATTTTATTTGGCAGAACCAACGCCATCAGCAGAAATTTCAGGAGAAAGTTATTCATCTAACAGATAGTGATGTCACTGACAAAACTGAAGCTGATCAGGATTGCAATAAACAAATAATAGAAAGTAACTCTGACATAAGATGTCTGAAACCAGGAGAGAAAGAATCATTAAACACATGTGAAGAGCACTGTGTGGATAAAAATTGTGTAGATGAACCAGAAAGTACAATTCAAGTACAGATCACAGAAAAACATGATGAAAATGCAGACAGTTGTGATCAAGAGGCGAATAATGAAGTAAATTTGGATGTTTCTATAAAAGATTTTGTTCCCGCTGTAGAGTGTGTCAATAAGTTTGATGATTTGCATCTTAAGGAAGATAAGGATGAGGAAGATGATATTATCAGTGACTTCAGCAAATTATTCCTGGAGGAAGAAGAGCCGAGTGATGATACAGATAGTTTGCAGGAATTTTATGGTTTTGAAACACAAACATATGAAGTAGTAAATGAAGATCCAGAAACAGCATTTTGTACTCTTGCAGACAGGGATACTGTCAACATAGAAGAAAATTCAATTCTTCATTGCTTGAATCAGTTTACTCATATTGAGAAACTTTGTGAGAACAACAAATTACTTTGTGAAGTGTGCACACGGAATCAACTTTGTGGAATCAAAACTAATAAAATAAGTATGTTAAAATTGTTTTTAATCAATTTATTGAATTATTCAAAATTCAATACTGAATTTATTTTTCTTATCAAGACATTCAGTAAGAGCAATTTCTTGTTTTAATGGGACTAGATAGGAAATAGTAAAGAAAAACAAATTGCCAGTTTGTAGTGAATATATGTTAAATATGATTTGAATAAAACTTTGAAAACTCCAAGATAGTATATGTCAAGACTGAGAGGAATTTATTGTTTAAATATTTATGACAATGTTTCATTCATTAGTTGGAATATGTGGACTCCCAGCAGTACAGGTAGAATTGCTAATACTTTCAGATCTATGTCTGATGATTTTTATTTATTTATTGTAAGATATGCAAATGTTTACATATTATTTTGAACCTACCAGCAAAATTCTAAATAACCATAAAGGTCAACAAAAACAGCATAAATACTGTTTCCAGAAACTTAGCAAATGATTCAGTCTTGGTAAGTTTTGTCTGGATTTTCTAAAACATGAGAATTTGCCTTTTCCTTCCCATAGAAATCATTGAGTCTGAATGTGCAGGTGTATTATGCTGGAAATTCAAAATTGTGAGATCTAATATACATAGTGAACCTAAACAATGCATAAGAGGTAATATTACTCAATGTCTATTAAGTCATGATTTGTTTTTCCTTTTTTTCTCCAGATGCCAAGAAATATGTATACACTAATGCCAAAAAACAAATGCTTATTTCTCTTGCTCCTCCAATTTTAACCCTTCATTTAAAAAGATTTCAACAGGTATAATTAATGATTAAGTTCAATTATCTTAGTTTAATACCACTTGTACAAAGTGATCAATGTAGTGGACATTCTTGTTCATTGCCATATGATTTTTGAGCCATAAAATACATGTATTATTAGACCTTTTGCCTTTAAGAATAGGGTGGGTTTTTTCCCTTAATTTTCTAGGATATTTGCTTCTGTAATTTTATGTTGGGTAGGCAGTTGAGTGATCTCCAGGTGCTTTGGATTACAAATTCCAGAGCGCCTTGACATCAATGCAGGCTGGAAAAATTGGGAGTTACCCTCTGGACTGCTTAAGTTTACTGCTGAGCTTTGGTCTTACTTTGTACTTTCTGGTTCTTTCCAAGGCTGGATATAATCTCCAAAAAGTAAACAAGCATATAATGTTTCCTGAAGTTATGGATTTGGCTCCTTTCTGTTCAATTAAGTGCAAGGTAAATAATAAAGTACTCATGTTATTTACTGTCTCATCCTAACCCACCTGAATTGTTTTGGTGAAAGTAGGAAGGAGTGCGACCTTGAGTTATTTATAAAAAAAATAAAAAGGTGGTGAATACCTAAATGTTTTTAATTGTTTCTGTTTAAGATGAAGTCCTTTTTTCCCTTTCCTCCCTCTGTTCAGGTAATCTTATACTGTACGTATTTTTCTGAGCTCCTTATCTGTTAATTCTGGTCTACCTCTTCACTAAAACTTTGTTCTAAATCTGGTATCTTAAATGTCAACCACTGAGATTTCTCAAATTTAGGTACCCTCATCTCACTGAAGAATCTCATTGTCATGTCCATTATATTATTCACCTTTGTATCTTACCTAGCCATAATTGTTACTTTAGTGATGTGATTTTACCTTATCTCAAAATGAATATGCTTTCCATTCTTTCATACTCAGCCATACCAGGCTTGCTTTTATGTTGTTTTGTTTACTTTACCTTTTAAAGAAAATAAAATGCAAATGTCTGTGGAGATTCTCAGTCATCCAGGTCATGGTTGTCCAAAGGTGCTTTTTCAAGAGGCAACTGGACTTCTTCAAAGAAAAAAATAGGAAGTCCAGTTGCTTCTTGAAAAAGAACCTTTGGACAAACTAAAGTGCAACTTTTTATTTTTTGCTGGCAACAAGGCTACTTCAATACTCTTGATGTTCCTTTTACAGAATGTAAGAGAGGGGACTTCAGAAGTATTGTACTCATTGTATGGTATTGTGGAACATAGTGGCACTATGAGATCTGGTCATTATACTGCTTATGTGAAGACAAGTACCACCAGTCAACTTTCTGATCTTGTCAACGACAAAATTCAACAAAGTAAGTAGAAGGAATTTACCCCTGGAAATTATTTTGAAATTAAATTCCTATGATCTAGTTGAAAACTAATAAGAAAATTTTTTTAAAAAAAAATTCAGGTTCAGATTCTGAGTCACCCAGAAAACAGTGGTTTCATGTAAGTGACACTCATGTGCAAGCAGTATCCATATCCAAGGTCCTGAAGTCACAAGCATATCTTCTCTTCTATGAAAGAATATTGTAAACTGGAAAAATTCCAACATAGAAAAACTTCACCAAACTTTTATCATGTTCAGTTTATTTTCTCTTCTTAAATCTGAATTTAAACATAACTTCCTTTTGTATGTATGTATGTATGTATGTATGTATGTATGTATATGTATGTATGTTTGGTTCATATCTGATGCATTGTATGATAAGAGGGCATGTTCCTTGATCCATAAACTCATATCATTCTCAATTTTTAAAAAATCTAAAATATGCAATAACTTTGAGATCTGTGAGATAAATTGGATAAATTAGTGAGATAAATTGGACTAACAAACAGTTTGAAAGTTTACTGTCAATTTATTTTCACAAGTAATGATAGATGAGGTGACCTGCAGAACACAATTCAGGAGTGTCAAATTATATTTGACTACTCTATTTAGAAAGCTAAAACACAGTTCACTCCTATATAATCTTTTGCAATATTCTTTCTCAGAGGCAAAGATGGTTCGAGTCTACCAGTCTTTCAAAAATGTCTATAAAGACCTAAACTCTGCCATCTCCCTTGGGCCTGACAGAGGAGCAGTAGCTGTGGCTGATTAGTGCCCTGAAGGTCCTCCACCCACCTTTTGATTAACTTTTCATCTTTGCCTCTATTAATTTTTATACTCAGTTTTTTAACATTTTATTTGTACACCACCAAGAGTGCCTCTGTGACGGAAATGGTGGTTTGTAAATTGGATGAGAAAATGTTATCGTGTGTGTGTGTGTGTGTGTGTGTGTATCACACGTTTCTTGTAATATAATGGGAATCATTTCTTCATATTTAATTTAAATTTAATTAATTAAAAATGCAGTTTAAATCTTCCTGATCTCCTTTAATAATGTAATCAACTGTTTCCAAAAGTCTTGTACATGACAAAAGCTTCATTAATTATTCTGTATTTAATAAAAGATTTAAGTATTAAAGCTATGCAAAACAATATTTGACTACAAATACGTACAAAGCACCTATTTTCAAACTGTTAAGGCAGTCACATTTTTTACAGCTTTGTGTACTTGTTTAAGATGTACCTGGATCACATGCACATATTTCTCGTAAAAGATTAATCTGCTTCTATAGGTGAAAAATAGGTTCTTATGGTCCTATGCACTGAAAAACATCTATTTTGAACACTTTGAACAGTTATATTCTTTAATGGTCTGGCTGTAGAGTACTGAAATAAGTAGCAAAATTATCATGGTTTGGCCATGATAATCTACAAAAGAAAGGTAAGACTTTAGTAGCAGTACTAAAGTTCTACACAAGATACACTTGTATACCTGGCAACCCTTTAAATAACCATCTTCTAAATCAGACAAAAAGACAGTTGTTTTTATTGAAATGCTTCAAGGTAACTTCTATTACAGATTAGTTTCATAATTTAAAGGTAATTTGAACACATTTGGCAAGATACACAACGTCTATATGTGTGCTTAACTATTTCAATCACTTTGGTCATCATCCAATTCCTTTTTCCCTGATGGCGGTTTAGGGCCACCAGCTGGTTTGGCCATGATAATCTACAAAAGAAATTAAGATTTAAGATATTTAAAATTGTCGATACTGTTTAATATTTCAAATTGTCAATTTATAAATAGATGAAATAGGCAAGTGTATTAATACTTTAATTACAAGTTTTTATGCCATGATTGACAAATTTTGATAACACAAAAATTAAGTATTTGGTTTTGCAGGCATACTAATGTCTTTTTGGAGCACAGTTAAGGGTTATTCAATTTTCTCAGGTTTCTTGAAAGAAATAGTAAGGTAAAAGCTAGTTCTTTGTGGCCAATTGTGGCTGAAACCTGATGTTTCCAACCAATCTGTTTTAAAATGCAATATTTGATACAAAACAATTATATCCATACAGACAGGAAATTAACTTCAATAATAAGTGTATTTACAGATTTAAATACCAAGGGTACTCTTTCAGGCATATTTAAGTAGATTGATATAATATTGCCAGTCAGTCAATCAGGCTATAATTATAACTTCTTTCACAAAGTGAATACTCACCCTTTGGTCACTTTTGGCAATCAACTCATATGCTTTTAGTGATATCAATTCAATATTCTTAAAAGAGGGTTTTAATGCAAGATGCTGTACTTTAACATTTCAAGCAAATTATTAGTGCTATGGCCTAAACAAATGTGAGTGTGGGAGCAAACCATACCCATTTCAGGCAGAGTGTAAAAAGCATTCATGCACTTTCCACTCTGGTCAACATTACACACAAGGCCATATCTTACTGTACACTATTGTTCAGGGGCATCTTTCCAGTCATCCTTGTCCCAGTGATCTGATGCTTGAGGGGCTTTTGGACCACCTGCTGTTTTGGCCACAATAATCTATAGAAATTTTATATCACATGCACATTTTGATATTTCATTAAAAAAGTCATTCTTACGACCTAAGAATTTGATTATTTTATTTGTATAAATAAACCTATAGTCCAAACAGGCATCTGCAGACTGTAAAAACACGACTCCAAATATAAACATGTTTGTAAATTTATCTAATGTTAAATTGACTTGTGGAATAGTATTCCTATATTGTACAAAACTGAAAACAATATAATGCGAACTCACCTGATCAACTCTCAATACTGTTACTGCAGCATTTGTAGCCAACTTGATACCCCAGTATTTTCCAAGATGCGTATCTAATACCCCTGCTTCCAACATATCTTTCACAGCTGCAGCTTCAGCCTGTTAAAATTAAGATAGAATGATTGTCTTTGTTTCAAATTACAAACGATTACTTCTCCCACCTTAATTTTACAGGCCCTAAATCTGTTATGTCACCCAAATGGTGAAGTAGCACTACAGATTTGTATGCTTAATTGCATCTGTATATTAAACAATGACATTATAGCATGATCATAGAAACATACAGCTATGTGAAAAAGTCCTGCACGCTTTACGGTTTACGACATTTTTTGGACAGGCAATTGATGTTATGATATTTTATGCTAATTGCTATGCAAATATTGTTATATATAAATAAGTACTGGTGGTTTTTAAGTGAAAAGCATAAACTTTTTGCAGTTTGGTACTGTTTGGATGGGGATTGTGAATTTTCTTGCATGCTTACAATGACTATGGAAACAGATTAACTGATGCATACCCAATGGCATAGCGATTACTAAGGCCAATGCCAGTGTTTTGTTAACATTTTTATTATTTGTGGCCCTGAAAAGGACCATTTAGGTAACTAAACATGGTTACTAATATGAAATTGGCCAGCCCTTATTGCTTATCACAAGGCAGCATCGCTTCGGCATAGACTGTATAAGCCTTTGCACGTGATCTTTGGTGACAATGTGGTGCCAGACTGCAACAGTGGATTCAAAAAGCTCCTGCTTGATCTTCGGATGCTTCTTGCTTATTTCATAACCAATCTTGGCCCACAAGTTCTCAATTGGGTTCAAATCCAAGCTCTGAGCTGTCCAATCCAGGAGTCGAACACCATGCTTCTTCATCCACTGCTGGACGGACTTGGCTTAATGTCAAGGAGCGTTGTCATCCTGGAAGTAAAAATCCTTACCTACAAGTTGCTGAGCTGAACGAAGCACAGTCTTTTCCAGGACTTCAACATACTGCTTGGAATTCATGATTCCCTGCACAATTTGTTTCCGACCAAATACCAGAAGCAGCAATACAGCCCCAGATCATCAAGTGCAATGGATGCTTCACAGATAGATTCAGGCAGTACAGCCTAAATTCTTCAGCTGGAAATCTTTTGACATACTTATTGCACTGATTCCCAGTCAAGTAGAAATTGGTCTAATCACTGAAGATGACTTTGGCCCACTGTTCGTTGGTCCACTTGGCATACTATACTATGCCAAAGCGATACCGCCTGGTGATAAGCAATAAGGGCTGGCTAATTTCATGCTAGTAACCATGTTTGGTTACCTAAACGGTCCTTTTCAGGGCCACAAACAATAAAAATGTTATCGGCCTTAGAAATTGCAACACGTATCCCATCAGTTAATCTGTTTTCATAGTCATTGTAAGCATGCAAGAAAATTCACAATCCCCATCCAAACAGTACCAAATTGCTTATACTTTTCATTTAAAAACCACCAGTATTTATTTAAATGTAACAATATTTGCAAGCAGTTAGCATAAAATATAAAATCAATGGCCTATCCAAAAAATGTTGTAAACCGTAAAGCGTGCAGGACTTTTTCATACAGCTGTAACTAGTCTGCCTCTGATCTATATAGGGTGCCTCAAAATTGCTAGGATATACTATTACTGATGCCAAGAAAAATAATGGGTGATTACAGGCACTGGCTCTCATTTTAATTATAAAATATTAATAATTAGATATCACTTTTTTTGTTCATTCAACATGTACATACCTAATGCTCCCATTCCCTATACATTTCCCTACTCATGAAAAATGCTATAGTTTATTAAACATATTGTTAATGTTAATAGCACCACTTTTTACTATGTTTAGAAAAATAGTGAAATCAATTTAAGGTTTTCTACTTTAAATTATGGTAAATTTGTAGCTAGTCTTACCTCAATATCAAATCCAACATTTTTACTGCCTTCTTGATGTACTGCATATAGCTTTGAAATAAGCTCATTTCCTTTAATTCCAGAATTTTCTGCCAGAGCTCGGGGAATAGCTTCAAATGCCTCAGCAAATTTCTTGATTGCATACTGATCAAGACCTGGGCAAGTCTGAACAGAAGTGGGGGTTGCTGTTAAGTTATACTGAATTACAAAAGAAATCTGACTGAAAAATATGTTCGTAACATACCTCTCCATATGACGTTATCTGTTTTGCCAATTCAATCTCAGTTGCACCACCCCCTGGGACAAGGCGCTTATCCTACAAAAAAGTAAAATGAAATGTAAAACACTTCGCATGAAATGCCAAGTAAAAAAACTGAAACACGAAAATTTCAACACTCATTTCTAAAGACATCTTAAAAATACAATGAATGCATTATTTTAATAAAACAGTATATAAAGTTGTGTGAATGCCAATCATAATATGCCAATTAGATCCTTGTTGTCAGCCATTCAGTTGTGTCTCTCGGACACTATGTATTAGCACTCTCCATGCCCCTGGTCTTGCACCACCTCCTTCAGATCCACTGTGGTCATCCCAGTGTCATCCTTCGTAAAATGTCCCACCAACTTCTCCTTTTTCCATTGATCACTCCCAGCATGACTGACTTTTTGAGTGAGTCAACCAATTATATACAACATAGCAAAAATGTTAACTTCTGTAAATGCACATTATATAATAACCCCAAATTACAGATCCCCAAGACTTTACTCACCCGAGTGAGTACTTTGAAAGTATTTACACCATCATCAACTGCTCTTTCTACATCATCCATTAGGTTGTCTGTGGAACCACGAATCACTATTGTTGAAATAGCTCCATCTTCCTTTACTGTGAAAAAAAAAAATTCAAGAAACATTATTTTACAAATGTAAATATTACAGGTAGCCCTCAAATTACAAACATTCATTTAGTGACCAAAGTTACAACAGCACTAAAAATAGTGACTTAAGACCAGTCCCCACATTAAGTTGATCAAAATTCAGATACTCTGTAACTGTCATGTATTCCCAATGGTTGCTATTTGTGACCTTCCCAGCTAACTTCTGAGAAGCAAAGTCAATTGGGGAAGCCAAATTCACTTAATAACTGCAGTGATTTGTTTAAAAACGGTAGCAAAAAAAAAAAAAATCGAGCAAAACTCATTTAACAATTACCTTGCTTAGTAATGTAAATTATAGCCCTATTTATGGTCATAAATAGATGACTACATGTAGTTCTAAGGAAAAAAAAATCTGGTATACTAAAAAAGAAAAGAAAAGAAAAATATACCATGTTTAAACACAACAACTTGTGTTTCCCCAACTTCTGATAAATACACACTATCGCAGTGGCCCATTTCTTCTAAATTAGGTGGAGTCTGCGAGAGTAAAGAAAAATTACGGTTAAGTCAAGAATTATTATCACAATAGAAATAGACATTAGTGCTGATTACATACCAGTCTGGGCAGAGCTGTAGCACCAACTGTTTTACATAGTCTCCTGAGGTCCCATTTGGAATTCAGCCTTTAAAATATATAAATATTTCAAGAAGGAAAACATTTTATAATTTAAACATTTTTATTACAAAATAAAACTTTTCAGGGACATTTATTTTCATTTTATTTTCATTTATGTTCAAACTGGATTCTCATGAAATACAGAAATACTTTTTCTACACTATTTGTAGTTGTAATGTTAATCAAAAAGTTTTCCAAATGTACATGACTCAAAAGAAAGAAAACTAAGCACAGAATAAGTATCTCATAACATTGTTCATTTTGCAAGGGCGTGTGTATTTTATAATCTGTATTTCAATTATTTAAGAAACTTATATCAAGTTAATTGAAAATAGACATCAAACTTTAATTCCTGAATAGGAAAATAAAGTGGTACAGAAGAAAGCATGATTCTTCCAAGTCATGACCCTCTACTTTGATTTTGTATTAATTTATGTTATAAAATAATTTAAAAAAATAAACCTTAGCATTTAAAATTAAATCATATCTGTATTGTAACTTGAAATCATAAGGCAATGAGATTTTTTTTAAGTGTGCCATTTTAATTCAATGGAAAATTGAGATTTTTCATTTTAGTAAACCTTACCGGATTAACATAAGATTGTATTTGTTTGCATAATGTAGGGCCATGTCTGCCACTTTTCCACCTGAAACTACCACATTTGCACCGGTGTCAGCAATAGCTTTGACCTGTAGCTCCATTAAGTTCTCTTCTCCTTTGCTGAAATTCATCAGTTCTTCAGCATTTTTTATCAGTACTGTGCCCTGCAAGAATAAAGCGTTCACAAAACTTGTACTGAATGTTTGCCTTACCAAAAACAATCAAATTTATTTCCTGTCCTTGGATAGAATTCCTTAGAGGTAGTCATCATTCATTTAATGACAATTCAAAGTTAAAATGCCCATTCAAAGTTAAAATGCCCTTAGAAAAAGTGATTTAATCTCTTGCACTACCCTCATGGTTTTGCCATTTGGGCCCTTGGAAGCAGGTTCACATTTACAACTGCTTGCAGCTTTCTGTGGTCATAATTTGCAACCTTTCCAGCCAGTTTCCAACAAGTAACATCAGCCAGGGAATCCAGATTCACTTAACAACTGTGAAATTTATTTAACAAACATGGTAAAAATGATAATAAAATTTACAATTGCACTAAGCTATGACAAATTCTGGTCCCAATTATGGCCATAAATTAAGGACTAGCTTTCAATGTTTTAGTTATTGCAAAAGAGAACTAAGAAATAAGATATTCCAGAAATCCTAGATGAATAGCAGCTGTAGTAATATGCAATAACCCTAAAGTCTTTAATCAATTCCTTTGCTAATATAACTTAGAGATGGAATTATCAAAATACCATATATACTCGAGTATAAGCCGAGTTTTTCAGCCCATTTTTTGTGCTGAAAAAATCCCTCGGCTTATACTCGAGTCAGATTCCCCTCTGAAAAAAATATATGGTGTGGAGCTCCGGAGCTGGGCAGGCGCTTCCCTGCTTCCGTGTTTCCTTTGCAACTTTTAATCATGGGGGTAATCGGAAGCAGAAAAGTTCTTGCATGAGGATATATTTTTTCTTTTTTTAACTGTTTTTAGGGGGGGGAAAGACCCACCGTCATGTGAGAATGCTCAGACATGAAATCTATCCACCCGAAAATAAGTGTGTGTGTGTGTGGGGGGATTTTAACAGAGGGAAGATGTAGGGAGAAGGCAAAAGCGACGGAAGATCCTTCAGGGGACACAGGGGGAGACTCACCCTTGGTCCAGATGAGCCCCCTTCCCCGCCCCTAAGGAAGCAGAGGCAGCCAGCAAGGGCAGGCAAGCCCCACTTCACAGACTCTGTCCATCCTCGCTCCCACCCAAAGCCATGAAGTCCCCCAATCGCGCAGCCCAGAATCGCCCTCCCCTCAGGGGGCAGCAACGACGCCCGGTTTTTCCCGAGACAAGAAGCTCCGCCGTGCAATGAAAGCGCCCTGGCTCTAGGCTCGCGGGCTCAGAAAACAACGCGAGCCGAGGTCGCTTCGGCTCCGCTCAGCTTCTCCAACATCCAGCACCGCCCTGTTCTATGTGCCGGGCCGGGCAAGTCCGAGCAGCCAGCGCGTGGAGCAGGACGGCGCCAGAGATAGTTGGCTGCCTCTTTCGCAGCACGGGAGGCCTCCCCCGGCTGGCCAGCTGCTCTCCTCCTTCTCTGCCTGTTTGTTCTGTGTGACCGAGGAGGAGGAGACCGGCCGGCTGGTTGGGGGAGGCTTTCTGCGCCGAGGGAGGCGGCTGTTGGTGTCCGGCTTTGCTCCGCTTCTCCGGCGCGGCCCTGTTCTTTACTTGGGCAGCAGGGCGCCCGCAACGGCGCCCACGGCGGCAACAGGCAGTTCTGCCCGAGCTCCGCTCAGGTCTCCGGCTGGGGCTGTCGGGAGTTGCTGCCGCCGCTGCGGCCCCAGTCCCGCGTCGCCAACAACCGCCTCCCTCGGCGCAGAAAGCCTCCCCCAACCAGCCGGCCGGTCTCCTCCTCCTCGGTCACATGAAAGAGGCAGCCAACTATCTCCGGCGCCGTCCTGCTCCACGCGCTGGCTGCTCGGACTTGCCCGGCACATAGAACAGGGCGGTGCCGGATGTTGGAGAAGCCGAGCGGAGCCGAAGCAACCTCGGCTCGCGTTGTTTTCTGAGCCCGCGAGCCTAGAGCCAGGGCGCTTTCATTGCACGGCGGAGCTTCTTGTCTCGGGAAAAACCGGGCGTCGTTGCTGCCCCGAGGGGAGGGCGATTCTGGGCTGCGCGATTGGGGGACTTCGTGGCTTTGGGTTGGTGGGTGGGTGGGTGGGAGTGAGGATGGACGGAGTCTGTGAAGCGGGGCTTGCCTGCCCTTGCTGGCTGCCTCTGCTTCCTTAGGGGCGGGGAAGGGGGCTCATCTGGACCAAGGGTGAGTCTCCCCCTCAGTTTCCCCTGAAGGATCTTCCATCGCTTTTGCCTTCTCCCTACATCTCCGCTCAGGTGTCCGGCTGGGGCTGTCGGGAGTTGCTGCCGCCAGTGCGGCTCCGGTCCCGCGTTGCCTTGGGAAGGGTGGGGCAAAACCAGGAGCCGCTGAGCCTGAGCCTCCGGTGCCGCTGCTGCTGTTGCAAAGCGCTGCCGCGGCTCTTCCTTTTTGCCTTTCCCTTCCCGAGGCAACGCGGGACTGGGGCCGCGCCAGCGGTAGCGACTCCTGACTCAGGGGGCCTCCGAGGGAGGGGAAGAGAGTGACTCCTGCCTCCCGCTTCTTCTTTTGGGTTTGCCATCTTCTTCTTTTGGGTTAGTTAATCAATTAAACCTTTCATGATAGTGAGATTGTTTCCCAAATTAATTATTTTTATTTTTGAAATTTACCAGTAGCTGCTGCATTTCCCATCCTCGGCTTATACTTGAGTCAATAAGTTTTCCCAGGTTTTTTTGTGTAAAATTAGGTGCCTCGGCTTATATTCGGGTTGACTTATACTCGAGTATATACGGTAATTAAATAGCAGGCACAAGGATACAGACCACATAGTGATTCTTCACTACAGATTAGCATGATTTGTTACTTAAATTAAGAATGGTCAACTTTTGTTTGGTCAGTGCTGAATTTAACATTTTATAAGAGAAAGGGCACACAGAAAATGTAGCAATGATATAAAATAGTCAAGCTGCCTAACACATCTGGGAATGGTCACACCGTGAATCATAAATGTTGGCATTGGTCTTAACGTTAGTTTATCAACACTGTCCCAATGGTTTTTGATTACTACCATCAATCAGTCACTGAATGAGGCACTTTCAAAATCTGTAGGTTGCTTTCAGCTCTTTAGTCTATAGAAATATTTCTACTCCAGTTGATAATAAACAAAGGCCAATTACTTCTGGCACCACATGAGCACATAATAGAGTAATAATTTCTTTAGGTAACTTTATTATATAAATCTCAGAACTTAAATTATTACTTGAATTTTCTTGCTTTCCTCTTTTCTTTTAGTAAACATGAGATCCTGAAATGTTGTCTGTTACTAACTGTAAACTATTACGGAAACTTTTCCTATCAAGCTCAAAAATTAATTACTACCCAAAGTTAATCATAACATACCTTAGTTTCTGTTATCATGCCATCAAAAGGACAGGAGTAGACAGCTATTTTAGCATCTTTAACAGAAGTAACGTCACCCTCAGTTTCTTTCTTAAATACCATGCCATGCAATACAGTGGATGCATTAATACCAGAACCCTGAAAATACAAATAACAATAACATCAATTAAATTATTAAAACAATGCTTTAATGCTAACAGTTTGAACAAATGTTATTTATTTAGGAATACACACTCAAACAGGACCATTTCATGTGTTCCTTTTTCCAAATTAGGCTCATTTCACCATACAAAATATAGACTGCTGATTTAGAACTGTCATTTTCTGTCATGAATGTATCATTCATTCAATATACAATTTGTCACCATTTCAAAAATTTGATACCCAATATTTTAAAGATCAGGGCAGTAACTCTTGAAGATCTGTAAGAAACAGTTTTTCCACATTCTATCCTATTCAATATCACAATTTATAAATAAAACAACACTAGATAACGTAATATTCTTCTTAAAATTAGAATTTTAGGATTAAAACTTTTCCTCAAGGATATTTTAAATTTGGACCTATTAAATAAACAGAGCCATTATTTCTTTTAGCCTATGAAGACTGTGATTACTTTCAGACACTAAGGATCTCAAGAAAGTTTGGAGCATCACCATTATGTATTACCAAAAAGAAATATCACAACTTACTAAAATTTTGCATACTCTGATGTTATCAACATTGAAGTGACCCGATTCAGGAAAAATGGATACTGTGAAAGAATTAAAAACACAGCTTTAGGAAAGTTTATTAACTTTCAGATCTCTATTTTTCTATCTTAAATTATATACTAATTTGGAATAAATGTATGGAAATAGATTAATTGAAAATGTTTTATTTAATATAAAAAGTATATTATTTTCCTATTACATGGAGGATTGCAGATCTAATGATGCAGAGGTAGACATCTTATCTGAAAACCAAACATTCGCAAACCAGAATTCCTAAATTTTAGACGAGATTGGAAATAATTTTCTATTTGTGGTTTATGGTAAAAAAATTATTTGGTCCATACCAGTAATATGAATATTAAATGAATAACAAAATATATATTAAGTAGACCACTACTAAAAATTACTTACCACATGCTTGAGCAATAAGCTGCGTTAGAAAACTTTCACTACCACACTGTTTACTCATTACAGAAGTTTGTAACAAGGATGCCACTTCTCCAACATCCCGAAGATTTTTTGCAGAGCAGCACACAAGATCAGGCAGAATTTCCAAAGCTTTCCTGCAAGCTTTTTCATAGCCTTCAATCACCTATAATTAAACATAGGCAAATGCCTGTACTGTAATACATAAATATTAATAAAAGCTTGATGAATGTATGTGATACTCTACTTTATATGGGGAAGCATTACTAGAAAATAAGCTATAATTGTATCCTTGTTTAATTGGAAATTAGCCCCAATAAACCTAATAGATTTCATATGTAATAAACTGTAAGTTAGACTAATAATGGAATATTTTTGGAAATGCAATTATCTAACAAAATGCCTATACCTCTGAAACAGAAAGTCCCATTCTTAGAAGTTCTTCAGCATGTTCAAGAAGAGCACCAGCAAAAACAAGAACAAAATTTGTCCCATCACCAACTTCTTGTTCTTGCATATGAGAAGCCATGACAATCATTTTTGCTGCAGGATGCTGAACCTATCCAATATTTTGTATTAGAAGAAACAATTGAACAAATATTAAAATTCAATTAAAAATAAATCAAAAAGCATATTTAATAATATACATTCAAGATATTAGTTACTATTCCTTAATCTTTTATAGGACAAAAATGCTATGTAATTTGGCTTTTGCAGACCACCAACATATATCTGTAGTATTGTTTAATTACTTCAGATCTTCATTGAGAGTAATTTCAGACTCTCTCACAGGCTACCAGCCCACTTCTCTAGCATGAAATTACTTCAGAATCTTTCACAGAAAAATGTACCTTCCCCCCAAAAGCCTTCATTAGCAAACTAAGTCATAAAGAAATAATGTGCAATTAAATGTATTAAAATGGAATCATAATTTGAGTATCAATAAAAAGTTACCTCCAATTCTCTTAAAATGGTAGCAGCATCATTAGTAACAAAAAGCTTTTCCAAATGATTAATAACCATTTTGTTCATCCCTAAAACAAGCAAAAATCAAAACATATAAAACAGTACTTAAGGACAATTTGATAACAAATTGATAAAGGAATTAACAAAATAGACAAGTTAACTTCTAGATTTGTTTCAGGTTTTTATGTGAGCTGTCCAATATATTAATATATTGAATGCACTGAATATTATCCATGTAATAAAATAAAGTGCAGTTGAGAAATAAGAAAGCAATTTTAAACAGAATCCAAGTTAATTTTTAATACTAGTAATGGAATTATTTAAATAAATAGAAAATTAAACATATTTTTTAAAAATTGATCTTACCATTTGGGCCATAGGCTGTGCGAGTTGTCTGAGCAAGTTCTTTACATGCTTGAATGTTTCGAAACACAGCTTCTTCCAATCCAGAATAATGCTAGACATGCAAAATTTAACTCATAATTAGATATGATTATATGAAATATAATACTTATAAAAACTCTGAAAATTACGTATTTAAGCTTTAGTTCCTCTTCATTTTCCATTCTTCTACCACTCGTGTTTTTATCTTAAGACAAAAAGCAAGCACTGTCAGGTTTTTTTTTTAAAGAAAACTAAGAGGGGAATATCTTAAAACAAAACAGAGAAAGCAGGATTTCTGATATTCTTGCAGCTCCATTTTTCAGCAACCATGGTAGGTTTCTGTATTTTATTCTGTTCAATGAAGTAACATGTTGTGTCTCTAAAAGAATGTCTAACGAGAACGTATCATTTTCTGTGCTCATGAAAGTCTTATTTAGGTATTACTTCTGGGTGCATATTCACATTAAATGTGCCAGGTAAAGAACATATCACTTCTATCATCATCACCATCATCATCCTCTATTATTTCAAAACATATCACTTCTGCTTATTTTTGTTCTTCCTTTGTATTGCCTGTGTGAAGATTTGTGTATCTGTGCATCTCTGTATGTGACCAGAAAAAATGGGACTTGGTGTTGCAAGACTTTCAAGAGACAATTTAACTGCCATACATCTGAAGAGATGTTTAATGGACAGTTTCTTTCCTAGTTCTCAGCTGATTTTCACATTTCAAAACTCATTTTCTTCTGCTACTTTCCCCCATAATCAAATATAACTAAGTTGTCCCTTTTTCAAGAGTTATTCTGCCAATAGACAGGAATTCCAATTTCCTTTTGCATAATTTCCAATATTGTTGGAAATATTAAAACGATAATGTCTCTATCTTAGAGTTTCCAGCTAAATTTACAGAAGCAGAGAAAAGCTATGTATTACCCATTGTTTCTCAAGAGTTTTATACTGTCTATTCATCCAACAAATATCAGACTGGCTGTTTTCCAATAATTTGGGTTCTAAACAAGAGTCTAAGAAACATGGAGATGTTGTATTATATATTCACGTGGTCCTCGACTTACAATCATTCGTTTAGTGACCACTCGAAATTACAACCTCCCTGCAATTTTCACCGCAATTCCTTAACTCTTAATAATAAACTCTTAAAAAGCGTCGGGGGGGGGGGGGGTGGAAACAGCTAGAAAGATTGGCAGAAGTCGCATGGCCTCTTTTTGAGATTTCTCCGATCTGCTACTGTCAGCAAGCGCTCAAGTCCAGGCATGGCGGCGGACAGCAGCAGCAGGCCGGGAAAGGCCGCCTTGGCCGTTGCTGTTGTAGTGTCGGAGCTGAGAAGGGAGTCGAGAACAATCCCCCCAAGAGGGAGTGAGCTCCATGTTAATTCGACAGACCACGACGGCCCCCAGCGCGAGCCGTAGTAACGGCGAGGAGGCCCAATAGCTCCGCCTCTTTGATCGGCGCGTGGTGCCGGTGCTTTAGAACGCAGGCTGCGATTTCTCTTCTGGAACCTTCCCTCTTTTCCAGCACCGCCCGCCTGCCTTTCCCCCGTGACTATCTCCGCTCACCTTCGCTCCTTCCTTCAGCATCTGGGCAAAGCCAGGAGCCTTCGGAACGTGCAACGCCATCTTCCCGTTCAGGCCACGAGCAGAGGTAACTACACGCCCGTGGATCCGATGGCTGAGGCGATGCGCGCAACTCGCCCACGGTTGGTCGCGTCTTTACACGCAAGCGCAGAAGGAGGCGCGCCTAACCAAAATGGCTGACACAAAAGGAGGGGAGGGGTGCGGAGCATGTGGGACGGGCCAGACTTGAAAAACTGCTGTCCGCCTGGCGGGCGGGAAGCGGCGCTATAAGACTACTGAGAAACGGGCTGCCCTCGTCCTCTCGTTACCCATCCTCATCATTTAACTATCGTATTATTTGAATTACTGTAGTTTCGATATCCAGTTCAAAACTATATCGCATTATTTAATTAAACGTTTATTCAATTATAATTATACCGAAACAGTTTCCAAAGAAATACAAGCAGTGGTTTTTTTTATCATGAAGAGATAGGAATAGCCCCATGTAAATGTTTATTTAGTGAGGAAGTTGAGTAGCTTTTTTTCGCTTACATTCTTTTCTGTCCTATGGAAATACAGGTAGTCCTCACAATCAAAATCACAATCGAGCCCAAAATTTCTGTCGCTGAGGCGTTTGTTGTGAGTTCTTTGTTCTTGCAACAGTTGTTAAGTGAATCATTGCAGTTGTTGGAAGAAAATATCCTCCTGGGTTCAGTTCCAACTGGAGAAAAAGACACTGGAAACATGGAGGCTGTTTGGAAAGATGGTTTAATGGTAGACAGGAGACACCATGCTTGGGAGCTCCTGAATGAAAAAGGGAGGAGATGCTGAGAGTCTCTGGGTTTTATGCCCTCTGTTGGGATTTGAATTTGAGCTTGTATTCTGATTGGTTGTCAGACTCCCATGGGGCCATGCAGGGGCAACTCTGTAGGCTGTCCTGAGTCCCAGGCTTGGTTGAGCCTTGCTGGATGATGATGTAATGAAAGGGCTTTGGGATTCCTGTTAAGTATGGTGTTATGTTCGCCGTAGGAAGGAAGGCTCGGGAGTCAGTGACCGTTTTCAGCTCTTTATTTGGTCCCGAGATTGACTCGGTGCGGCTAGGGCAGACGGCGGCTTTTATAGAACTTGCCGGCCAAGCCGCGGCCAATGACACCGCTTTGAATCTCCCGCGATCGGTTTCTTCCAATTGCGGGGATTCGCGGCGGGCCAATCAGTGTGGCTCGCTCGACCAATCGGGTTGCCGCGCGTCTTAGCCAATCAGAACGGTTATTTACAAGAATGCTAATGTACAGTACAGAACACCCCTCCCCTCTTGGTATGGTCCTACGTGACGTGGTCCCGTAAGTAGGCGGGGCTCCGTACTTGTCTACTGGACCTGCGCAGGTTAGTTGGTGTCTGGTCTTCGAACGGCTCGGTCGGGTTCTGTGTCGCTCCTTGCCTCATCGATGGAACCGCCTGGAAGGGTGAGCCGGGCCTTTCGCTGTCGCTTCCTCCCGGTCTACTCGGGCTGGTTGAGTTGCTGGCTTTGTTTCTCCCGCCCGGTCTTTCCGGGTTGGTTGAGCTGGCTTGGCTGTTCCTTCCAGGCGAGGCTTCGAGTTGTTCATCTGTTTCTTCCTCCGCTGGTGAGTATTCTTGGTTCCTTTCTTGCTGGGGTTGGTTATTTTGGTTCCCGGGGTTTTCCCTCCCCTCTTGGCTGGTGTTTTCTTCTGTGTGTGCTTGCATGTCGGTTGTATTTCCCGTGTTGGTTCTCGATCTTAACTGATCGATGTGTCTTTTCCATGCTCGTCCGTCGGTTGTCTGTAGCCGGTACGAGCGGGGACCTGTCACCTGGGTTATGGTTGCTGGTACCCAGAGCGGGTCCCCTGTGAGATTTTTTGCGTATACTGCGTCGCCCGGTGTGAATGTTCGGTGTTTGCTAGATGAGTCGGGGGGGTTTTCTGGGTTGTATGTAGGGTGCAGTCTGTCAAGTGGGGACCTTAGTTTCCTTCCCATTAATAGTTCGGCCGGGCTTTTGTTTGTTGTCGTGTTTGGGGTTATATGTTGTATAAATAGCATTTTATTAATCTTTTCTTGTATTTCCCCGGTTTCTATTTTTTGGATTGTTTTTTTGTAAATTGAACCATTCGTTCCGCCCTCCCATTCGCCGCCGGATGTGCTGGCGCTGTCAGTGCATGCCGTATTCCCCGTTCCGCTAGGAATTTTTCGAATTCCAGCGAGGTAAATTGGGGCCCATTATCCGATACGATGACGTCTGGGAGGCCGTGGGTTGAGAATAGTCTGTTGAGTTCTTTAGTAACGGCCTCTGTGGTGGTAGTTTTCATGTTGCTTACCTCCAGCCAGTTGGAGTAAGCATCTACCGTAATGAGGAAGGTGTGCCCTTTCGTAGGTCCGGCGAAATCTATATGAATCCTGGACCATGGTCCCCTGGGGGTTTCCCATTCCAGGATTGGGGCGGAGGGGGGGCTTGACCTGGACGCTTGGCATTGTCTGCATGCTGCCACCCATGCCTCGATTTGTCTGTCCATCCCTGGCCACCAGGTGTAACTCCTGGCCAGGGCTTTAGTCCTAACGATGCCCGGGTGCCCCTCGTGCAACAACTCCAAAACCCTTTCTTGTAATGTTTCTGGGATGACAACCCTATCCCCCCATAGTAAACAGCCTTTTTGCAATGACAGTTCTGTTTGCCGGTTTTGAAATGTCCTGAATTTCTCGTCGTCGTCTTTTTCCGGCCACCCTTTCTCTACCCAATGCAAGACCCGCGCCAGACGTTTGTCTTTATTGGTTTCGTGGGCAATGTCTGACGCGGTTACGGGTAGATTGGGTAGAGTCTCTATGCTAAGGGTGGACGTTGTAGCTGCTGGGTTGGAGTCCCGGTCGGGCAGCGGCGTGCGGCTCAGGGCGTCTGCGTGGGTGATCGTCTTACCGGGTCGGTGGGTTAGGCAGTAACTGTAGGCGGCAAGGAATTCGGACCACCTTGTCATTCTCGGAGATAGAATGTTCGGGGTGGCCCTGTTCCCTGCCAGGATCCCCAGCAGCGGCTTGTGATCGGTGATGATGGTGAAGGTCCTGCCATAGAGGTACTCGTGGAACCTCTTTATGGCGGCGACGATTGCCAGGGCCTCTTTGTCCAGCTGACTGTAATTTCTTTCTGGTTTTGAGAGGGTTCTCAAAAAGAAGGCGATGGGTGCTTCTTTTCCGTTGGGGAGAGTGTGGCTGAGGACGGCTCCGATGCCGAAAGGTGATGCGTCGCATGTGATCGCTAATGGTAGGGTTTCGTTGTATTGGATGAGGACGGCATCCGATGTGAGCAGGTCCTTGGTTCTGTTGAATGCGACTTCCTCACGTTTCCCCCAGGTCCAGGTGGCCGTTTTGTCCAGGAGCCTATGCAACGTTTCCGCCACGGTCGCCTTTTGGGGTAGGAAAACATTATAGAAGTTAATTAGTCCCAGAAACGCCTGTAGTTCCGTTTTATTCTTTGGCCTGGGGGCTTCTTTGATGGCTCTGATTTTTTTCTCGGTTGGGTGAATTCCGTGCCGGTCTAGGAGATATCATAGGAACTCGACCCTCTCGGTGTGCAGCTGGCATTTTTCTTTTTTGACTTTTAGCCCCGCGTTTTTGAATTTTTGTAGTACCTCCCTCAGGCGACCCTCCAGTTCTTTTTGGTTGGCTGCTGACACGAGTACGTCGTCGAAGTAGGGCACCACCCCCTTGATTCCCTGCAGGAGTCTCTCCATGAGGCTCTGGAAAATTCCTGGTGCCACGCTGACTCCAAACTGGAGTCTCTTGCAACGAAAAGCCCCCCGTTGGGTTACTATGGTTTGCGCCTCGGCGGTTTCCGCGTCGACCGGTAACTGTTGGTAGGCTTGTGCCAGGTCGAGTTTCGTGAAAACCTTGCCTCCCCCCAGTGAGTGTAGGAGGTGCTGCACTACTGGGACGGGGTAGGCGCTTTGTTGTAAGGCGCAGTTTAGGGTGGCCTTATAGTCCCCACAGATTCTCACCGACCCATCGGGCTTAACTGGGGTGACTATGGGTGTTTCCCACCGGGCATGGTCGGTTGGCTCTAGGACCCCCTGTTTGATGAGCTTATCTATTTGCTCATCGATCTTGGGCCGGAGTGCGAAAGGTACCCACCTTGGCTTTAGGCGTATCGGGGGAACGCTGGGGTCTAGACTGAAAGAGATGGGGGGCCCTCGGTACTTGCCTAGGGTGCCGTCGAACACTTCCTGGAAGTCCCTTGCGAGTTGCTCCTCCCAGTCTGCTTCCGCGATGTGGTCGATGCCCGTTACTTCGATCCCGAGCGGCGCGAACCACTGTAATCCCAAGAGGCTTGGTCGGTCTCTGTCCATGACTGTCAGGGGAAGTCTTGCCGTGCGCCCCTTGAATGTGACTTCGAAGTGTCCTGTTCTGACTACGGGGATGCGGTTCCCTTGGTAGTCCTTTAGGATTAACCTCTGGCTCAGCCCCCTCTTGTGGATGGCGGGCACCAGGCACTTGATTTCCCGCCATGCAACCATGGAGAGATAGGACCTCCATCTTGCATGGCTTTCCCTCGATGCCCACTTCCATGTATACCTTTCGGGCGTCAGCGCTCGACGAATGGGCGATGACGACCGTCTGGTGTGTTTCCTCTCTCTGTCGGTTCTCGCCGTTCCGTCGGCCCCGTCCGTCCCGGTACCAACGATTCTCAGTCTGGCGGTCTCTTGCCCTGGGGGGGTGCCATCCCGTCTCCGGCCGCTGTTGTCTCGCCGTCGGGGGCTGTAAGCTTTCTTTAGTCGGCAGACTCGGGCGATGTGGCCTCTTTTGTCACATTGCCGGCAGATCGCGTCGAAAAACCGGCACTCCGATCGAGGATGGTCGCCTCCGCACCCGGCACATTGGAGTCCCGACTTACGACTCCGCCGCTCGCGCCGGTCTCGCTCCGTTTGGAGCCGATGGATGTCCTCCTCTTCGTCCGTGCTGAGGCGGAGTCGAGGTCGCCATGATGGGTTGTGGTGGTCGCTCGGCGGCTTGCTTCTGGAGGCGTCTTGGTCGTCGGGGTCGCTTCAGAGGTCGAGGCTTGGTCCCCGGTGTCTGGCCTCCGCATTCGGGCCTCTGACTTCCGGGTTGCCTCGGCTGCGGTGGCTTCGGCCAGGGCGTCTGTGAGGGAGATGTCGCCCTTTGCCA